TAAAGAAAACCTTTCCACCGGGCGCGGTGGCTCACACCTGTAATCCCAACCCTTTGGGAGGCCGAGGCGGGCAGATCACCTGTAGTCAGGAGTTCGAGATCGGCCTGACCAACATGGAGAAACCCCGTCTCTACTAAAACTACAAAATTAGCCAGGCATGGAGGCGCATGCCTGTAATCCTAGCTACTCGGGAGGCTGAGGCAGGAGAATCTCTTGAACCCGGGAGGCGGAGGTTGCAGTGAGCCGAGATCGCGCCATTGCACCCCAGCCTGGGCAACAAGAGCAAAACTCCGTCTCAAAAAAAAAGAAAGAAAGAAAACTTTTCCCTCCACTCTGCTGGGCTGTTTCATTCTCCCCTCTAGGTTTCCAATCTTCGCCTTCTCCTGGCAGCCCCTCACATTGTCTCGACGGGCTCTTACCACCATCTAGCGGGTGAGGCGGGCCTGGGCTCTCACCGTGAGGGCAAAGCCTAGCGGCCATGACCACACCGAGGTACCCAGGACCCCACGGGAGGCGCTCAAGAAACGGCCCCTGGGGAAGAGCTGGCACACGCACGCACGTGCGCACGCCCATCCACAAGCAGACCCCTTCCTGGGTGCAAACCCGGGTACGCTGCGACCCGCTCCTATTCGGAAACCCACCTGGCTTGGGGGGGCACAGGTCGGGCGCGCGCGCACGATCCGCCCCACCCACAGACCACCGTGATCAGGGCGCACACACACGCGCGTCCTCCCACGCACGCTCCGTCACACGCAGGCCCCCTCTCCTGCCACAGAGGAACGCGCTGGCGTGCGCACGGCGGATCAATCAGCCTTAGACCCACCCGGACAGACGCGCAGGCTGCGCGCACGCGCGGCTCCGAGTCCCCGCCTCCCGGCCGCGCCTGTCGGGGGCGGGGCGCCGCTGGGGGCGGGTCCTGCGGCACCGCCCGGGAAGCTGCGCGAGGCTCGACAGCCTCCGCCACATCCTTCTCCTCTCTTGGTCCAGCGAGCGGAGGCGGGCCAGGGTCAAGTGGAGGGCTCCGACGGCGCGGACGGAGCGAAGCGCCGAGCCATGGCGCACCAGACGGGCATCCACGGTGAGGGCGGATGGCGGGCGGGCAGGGGGCCTGGGTCTCGGCTCTCGGAAGCGCCCCCTCCCCGGCTCTCGGCCCCTCCCTCCACCCCGCACCAGCCGGGAGAAGCTTCCTGTTCTCTTTTGCAGCCGTGGGTCGCCTGGGGTGGGCACATCTGGGGCAGTACGGACGTGGTGTGCATAGCTGGGAGTGGGTGTACATGTACGTACACAGCTGGGGTGGAAGTATCTGTGTGCCTACCTGGAGATGAATGTGGCTGTGTGTGCCCATCTCTATATTTTTGTTCCTTTCCTGTAGTGGGTGTACACGCATGTGTACCCGTCTTCCGTGTACAGTCCTACGTGTGCACCTCTCTATGTGACTCCCTTGTGCACATCTAAGGGTCATTCATGCACTGGCACTTGTGGCTGTTTGATTGGACACTGTAGGTCGCATAGGACCCTCTTTAGACATCAGTGTTTCATGGCAGTGTGCACATGTATGTGGGTGTCTGTGTGTGTGCATAGTTGGAGCGCATCTCAGTGTGCATTTGTTGCCAAGGATGCATATACCGCATGTGTCTGTATGACTTGAATGGGTTTGTGTATGTGTGAGGGGACCCTGACCTTTGTTCCTCCCAGAACACTCACTCTCCCCAGGCTGGGGAAAACCCAGAACAGAGACTGCTAAGTGGGATGGAGAAAGCTGCCTATCTGACCTTGACCTCTGACCTCCCTCCCATTTTCCATTGTGACTTTCTGAGCCTGTCTCAGTCTGGTTGGAAGATCCCAGCTCCAGACTGCAGACAGGGAAGAGGTCCAGATATGGGGTTTGTGGGGGAGAGTCCTGGCCCTAAATAATCCAGGCCAGCTCCCACCCCCGCCCCCCCCAATCCCTAGGAAGCTTCACCATCCCCTAGCATCACACACCCCCTCCCCTAGGGGTCCCAGTTTCCTTCTTGGACGGGCTGTGAGAGAAGCAATGGCCAGGAGCCAGGTGCCCTGACTCTACCTGGGGCTCAGTGTCCTCATCTGTCACTGACCTGGGAGGGCTGCCTGGCCTGTGGGGAAGGCCCAGGCTGTTTGCCCAGACAGCCTGGCTGGTTTGGCCATCAGCCACCCCTCCCACCGCACTAGGATCCCCTGCTTGGGGCTGCCACCATCGACCTGCCTGACCACCTGAATCCTGGTGCGGTTGTGGCCACTTGGTGGCTGGGCTGCCCTGAAAAGGTTTCCCTGGCCCTGCGAAGGCAGGGGCCTGGGTCAGGGCCAGGCCTCCCAGATGGGCCAGCCTTTCTCCAGGAGGAGCTGGCAGGCGGGCTTCATGACTCAGCCCCACAGGAGGGAACTGCCTCGTGGCCAGCTTCTTCCTTCCCCTTTGTCTGGTCATAGCTGCTGCCTCCCGGCCTCCAGCCCTGGTGGAGGAGATCCCAGGAAGTTAGCCACCCCATACCCCTTCCCTGCTGCCTCACTCCCTCATTACCCATAGTGAGACAGGCCCACTGAGGGGGTCACTGGGGACTGGGCTGCCCCCAGTCCTCCTTCCGCCTGTGAGCAGCCCACTCCTTCCCATTTCTGGCTGGGGGAGTTGGCAGGAGAGATCACCCTGGAGGACCAAGTGCCAGCCCTGTCCTGACCATAGGTGTGGATCTGCTGACCTCAGAGCAGGGCAGGAAAGGGACCTGTAACGTGAGGCTCACTGGAGTCGGAGGGAGGGTGTTCATGAATCATTGATAATAGAGGCTCAGGTGTCCCAGGCCTGGTCTCTGGATTATTGATGGCGGCTGGGCAGGCATTGGGGCTGGGGTGGGCAGGGAGGTGTGCCTTCCCCTGCTGGGGTGTCAGTTTGCCCTGGTAACACTAGAAGGGGCCCGTCGGCCTGTCCTTTGGGAGAGCTTCTTGGTCTCCCTTCCGGGAAGGTCTGGGCAGGTAGAAGAGGCAGCTCAGCACAGTCAGCTTGCTGTTGTTATCGTAATAAAAGGTTAATTGTTATTAGTAGAGGCCAACATTGCCAAGCCCTTTCTCCCATTTATTCCTCACCACAGCCCTGCCAAGTTTGGGGCTATTATCTCCATTTTATACACTGAAGTTCAGAGAGGTCAGGGGTCACCCAGCTAAGGGAGAGGTGGAGCCCCAGAGGCCAGGCTTGGGGCCTCAGGGACCTGCTTGGGATCTGCCAATGGAAAGTTCTGTCCTGGCCCAGTGGGACGGTGTCCATCTGCCTACAGTTCCATGCCATGTTTCTCTGAGCCCTAAGGGTCTGCTGAGCTCAGCTGGGCCCCAGCCCACCCAGTGGCCTTGGAGGGTGGTGCGTAGCCTGAGGTCTCAGATTAACGGTCACTCTGCAAGGGGGGCACCTGAGGACATGACCAGAGTTTGTTTTCCTAAAGGCCCCCCCGCCCCTGAGTTGCCCAGTCCTGGCCCTATAAATATTCTCTGACCTCAGGCCTCCAGCTGTGTTCCTGATGGAATTCCCCTGACCCCTGGGCAGCCTCAAGGTCACTCTGGCCAAGCCCTGCTCACCCAGGGACCCAAGCAGGGACCTTCCCCGCATGGTCCGTGGTGGTTTCCCTGTCCACTAGTAGATCCACCACTTATGGCTCCCTGGCTCTCACCATGGTCCTCATCTCTGCCCTGGGGTCCTTGGTCACTCACTGGCTCTCACCTTCCAGCTCTACAGCCCAGTGGCCAAGATGGAGTCTCTCTCTCTTTTTTTTTCCTGAGATGGAGTTTCACTCTTGTTGCCCAGGCTGGAGTGCCATGGTGTGATCTCAGCTCACTGTAACCTCTGCCTCCCGGGTTCAAGCGATTCTCCTGCCTCAGCCTCCCAAGTAGCTGGGATTACAGGCGCAAGCCACCATGTGCGGCTAATTTTTTGTATTTTTAGTAGAGGCGGGGTTTCACCGTGCTGGCCAGGCTGGTCTTGAACTCCTGACTTCAGGTGATCTGCCCACCTTGGCCTCCCAAATTGCTGGGATTACAGGCACGAGCCACCGCACCTGACCAAGATGGAGTCTCTTAGTGAGTTTCCGGGGTCCACTCCTCCTGGAAGCTGCCCCAACTGCCTGAGGGTTAAAGGCGTCTTGTCCCCCCACCCCCCACAGGGCTGTGTCTGGGTTGGCTGTGGTTCCTCAGGGTCTCAGGGTTAGACAGCCTGGCTTGAGGGTTGGGACTGGGGCTGCACACATGGGTGTCATGTGTGTCCATGTGCTTCTGTGTACACTTTGATACATCCAGTTGCCTGCACACACGTCTCAGCCAAGCTCTGCACTTGCCTGCCTGTGTGCGTGTTAGCAAGCTGGGGACTATATCTCTTTGTGTGTTTGCGTATCTAAATGTGTGTGTCCATTTGTGTTTGAGCAACTGAGCGTGTGTTTATGTATGAGGGTGTTTGAATTTCTGCTCCTCTGTCGTACATCCATGTCATGTGTTACATTCACACATGCTGGATTGAGCTGTGTGTGTGTGTGTGTGTGTGTGTGAGAATGGGCATAGTGGTCATTACACAGTGGGGGCATTTGTCTGTGTTCCTTTGTCTGTGTATATGACCGTGCTGAGTGTGTCCAGGCCAGCCCAGAGCTCAGCCATCCTGGGGGGGAGGGGGCAGATGGAGGCTATTCACTGTGGCTGGCCTGGCTTATGCCAGAGCCTGCCCATCTTCTGATGAGCTGTCCCATCCCTGCCCACCCCGCCCCATCACCAGACCTATCCCAGCCAGCAGGCCACTCGCCTGCCACCTCTGCTGGCTAAATTTGGGAGCTTGTGTTCAGTGGCTGTCTCAGGTTCCCAGTCACATGGGGGGCTGTATTTAACCTGGTTCCCAGCTCAGCCACCAGACCCTGTGGGACAGAGCAGGCCCCATACTCGTCTCTGTCCACTCTGCCCACTCATCCCCCACCATGTTTCTTGTTCTTATAGCCACGGAAGAGCTGAAGGAATTCTTTGCCAAGGCACGGGCTGGCTCTGTGCGGCTCATCAAGGTTGTGATTGAGGACGGTGAGTGCCCCTCACAGGCCAGGGCATAGGCTTGGGGGTGGACTCTGCTGCCTCTGTGGGTGGGGGAAGGTAGATGTTGGCCCCTGGCCTGCTGGGGACAATTTCCCCCTCTGGAAATGAGTGTGAGGAAATCCTGACAAAGGAGAGCCTCACAGGGCAGCATCAGAGGTGAGTGCGATTGTCACCTCTGTTATGCAGAGCGGGAAGCCAAAGCTGGGGTCAGCAAACAGAGCCCTGTCCTGGGGTCCTGCCACCTCCCAGAGACTGCATGGGTATTCACATGGGCCTGGTCAGAATGCCGAGCTGGGCTGGGCAGAGGGGCAGGGGATAAGTGAATCCAGCACCGCCCCTTGTGGTTGGTGCCACCCACCCCTATCTGTGGCCTGGCCTGGCTCAGCTGCTGGCCGAGGGGAGCTCTAAGGAGATCCTGCACCCTTCTCTTGGAAATGCTCCCATGATGGGGAGAAGGGACGAGTGTCTGGCTCATCTGAGAGCAGGATGAGAGGGTTCTAGGCTTGGCTGGGTCTTGGCCTGGCCCCTGAGAATCTGGGAGCTGTATAGAGGGCAGTGCTGGGGGCGCTGGGACTTGAGCTGAGGCCTGAAGTAGGGAGGGTTTGGGGAGGCAGAGGATTAAACTGAGGAGGATTAGGAGGTCAGAGGACAGAGAACATTTTTTCCCTTTTCCTCCTTGCCAAGGGACTGCCCCTTTGGGTGAGGGGTACAGACTTTGGGACTGGTGTGGGCCAGGCTCCCCAGAGGTCCTCCCAGCTCTCCTCAG